GACATTCCATGGGCACGTGCCTTTGAATACGACAATTACAATGTTATGGAGACACTGATTGACGTCCACCAAACCTCTATATTGTCGCKACGACAAATCGAACGATTCCGCGCGTGATATCGTAGAACGACCGTAAATGAAAAATGACCGTTTACAAACGAATGGTCTTCTGTGGAGTCTAAGTTTATTTTTTTCTCCTCAGCTCAAAGGAAAAGTACCGCAGCTTATTATCAAACCAGCACGACATAGCAAATATATTCCAGGTAAAGAATGTCAGAAACGATTCGCATAATTTCCACTGTTTTCATTGCTACGCGCTGATTGACACAACACTTCTGTCAAGCAAAATACGTAAAAGTAGGGAACCATTTATTTGGTTAACGGTATTCTATTGACCGATTTTCCAGTCGCGACTGTTGTCTCGATTAGTGCGTAGCAATAAGATTAAGTGGTTAAATCACGAGGCCGACTTGGGGGGTACCTATGGTCTCCGTCTGAATTTAACAACTGCCTATGTCACAGAAAGTTTGATATACAACATATAAAAAAATTATTCTCAAGAAAAATACGCGTGGTCTGAAATGGGAAAACATTACGCCCATGCTAAAGAGGTGTTGTTTGTGTTTTGTGTTCCCCTTCGTCAGTTTAAAATACTAGAGTCTTATAATTGTTTTAAAAACGCTAACTCTTTAACTGTAGGCCTTGATTGTTGGTAGCGGTATTAACTGGGCAGCGGATGATGACACAAGAAAGCTTGTTCTAAGTATTGGAGAAACGATAAATGCAAAATAGATTACACTSCGTAAGTCTTTTGGGGCTGTTCTTAATTCTACTGACTTATAAATTTAGTGTCCATATTTCGCGACAAATAGAAAGTAGGAAGAATAAGGAAGTACTACGTCAAATTTTAATCACGTGGTGTAAAAAACTTGTCCTCGGTACAATATTGGCATCACGTGGTCGATTTGAAATGTACTTGCGGATAACATAACAGACGCTACGAAGGCGATTAAAAAATCACAACTACCTCGGTCTACTGGGAAGAGTAGTAGAAAGAGACAGACTGAAAATGAAAAAGAAAGAAAGAAAGAAAGAAAGAAAGAAAGAAAAAGAAGCACAAGAGAAATGAAAACAAAAAAAATTAAGGAAAACTGAGACAGAAACCATGGAGCCTGAGGAAAGAATAGAAATAAAGTGAAAGCAACAATAGAAGAATGAAAAGTTTGTGAAAGCTTGGTAAGCATTTTGCAGTCTCAAGACTTCAAATATAGAGGCTTTGCACCATCACGTGAAGGCAGCCATGACAGGAGGCATAACAACAGTCTTTCTCCCCTGGGAAACTGAATTCTTTCTCATGTAAATCAGATTAGACCAGATTCAATTGTTCCTGCCTCCTGTCATGGCTGCCATCTTGTGATGGTGCAAAGCCTCTATACTAGAATTTGGACTATGGTTTGAGAATTTGACTAAAACCATGTTAAAACACCGTAAGATCGTTTATATATATATATATTTTTTTTTCAGGAATAATTAGAGTCGATGTTAAAGTAAATACGATTTATTAATTTAACAAACTTTATTTACAAGAACTAGTGATARCTTGACTTTAAAGTAAAGTCTTTCATTCTACCTGGCTTACCATTATTTTTGAAGTAGTTGTTCGCTTCTAAGGGAGGGGGGTGGATGAGAAAATGGGGACCTTGAAGCTTTAGTGAACCTGACTGAAGGAGGGTCTTGAAATAATTAATGAGTTTTATACAAGTTAGCCTTTTAAATGTTTGAAATATATTGGACATAATTTTGGGTAGCTGTAAGGGAAAAAACACACTTTTGCCCCCCCCCCNTTCTCAAATCTCTAGAAGTTCAATTTCTAAGAAAAGCGAAAACGTTCGCTGCTATGGCATCAAATATACRTAGATTGTCATTGGATGGTTCGCATTTTTTAGTGCATTGTGATTGGTTAATGTCAGGGTGGAAGCCATATGATGACGTAACTGAATCTAAATGCTTGTAGGGTTCTTTCTAATACTTGCATGTTAGTAGCCTTCTCCGCAGGCATCTCCTTGGCTCTTTTTGCTCCTTGGGCTTCCTGTGGCGAGGAGAAAAAGGTGAAAGGGGGAGGGGAGAGAGAAAGAAGAAGAGGAGATGCTACTCCTCTCGCTTTTCCTCTCCCTCCCTCATCCCCACTCCTCCTCCTCCTCCTCCTCTCTCGTTCCTAGTTCTTCTCTGCCATACAATTTAATACAGGGATACCAACAGAGAATATATGGAGTAGCCTGCGGATTAGGCTAGCATGTTRGGCTACCTAATAACATTGATGACTGTTTTTACCATTCGAAATGCAACTTTTTTATTACTTGGAAATATTTTAAATTGTTTGCGGACTAGGCCAGTTGTCTAGTTTCTTTCGTCTTGCTGCCGCTTTAAAATCCTCATTCCTTGGCGTGAGAAAAATTTGTCCGTCCTGGTCACGTGACTGTTGTTTGTTTCTCTGAGCATGCTCAATGCGAGCTTAAATTTCCCGCGACCTGATTGGTTCGTAGTTTTTGATATGTGGATGAGATATGTCAAATATTYACGTAGAGAAAAGTAAATGATTGCTGTTTATCCGTAGTGTGCGTTGAGTGCMTCGCAAGACTGTCGCACGTGATGTGCACGTGATAGTCCAGTTTTTATCCTAGTCCAACCACGTGATTGTTTATTTACACAAATGCTCGAGCCAGTCACGTTCACAGAGTTCACATTTTACTTTACAGCACCATATAAATTCACAATTGCACTTGGCCATCTTACTTCTTTCCACCGTGTCGTGCCCTCTTGAACAACACATGTGTTTGCAACCATCATTACCAGTCGATGAGGTATTACAAATTCTTCCTTGAGTCCCGAGAATTCCTAGACTTAAATTCGGTCGGCAAAAGTCCGGAGAGCTTTCGCTGTGTACGAGGCTGGAGGCGGGAGGTTTTCGGTTTTTATCCTTTCGCTTTCGTTGTTTTCCTCGTTTACCTCGGGTCGTTCGTTGAAGCTTGCTCTTGTTGGCGTTAGCGCGCACGCGGATCGAGCGGTCGAACTTAATACGGAGCAAYTGAGCAACGACACTGAAATTTGGCATCGTCTTCCAGCAGATTTTCACCGTGCATGAACCAGAGACTCCGTGACATTTGCAGCTCTTCCCCATGTTATCTCGCAGAGACTGAAACAATGACAGAAACGAYATAATTTAATTAGTGATGGTTAATKGAAATTCTATAGACTTTTGGCTTGTTTTTCAAATGCTCTGTCTAAAATTAAATKATCACTCTCTTTCACAAGAAATACTTTCAAAATAACATTAGGTTTACTAATTCTTTTTAAGAGTTAACTTTGAGCCATTTCCCTCACTTATTTAGCCTATTTTAAGCACAAATTGCGAACATAATTTTCAGAGTAAAGTGCATATTGATTTAATAAACGGCACCAAATTCAATTCATATGTTTGAGGTCGAGTAAAAAACCAGCCCGGTTACTTTTATCTTCAGATATCAGGATATAACACCAAGGATATGCCAAAATTTTGAATTAGATTTATTAATTGGGCTTGAATTCCCGACGGCTTGTCAAGGACRGCTTATTGATTCACTGCATTTTGTTAAGCAGTAAATATTTTGAAGAGAAATGGAATGTAAATGCTCTCATCAGTGGTAGGACACGGTATACACGTTTTTATACACGTTGGGGGGGGGGGGGGTCGTTCACTGTCGCTACGCCACTGATGCCACTGACACCACCTTAGAATGCCACTGGTCGGATTGTAAGCGATAGCGTTAAGGAGGTTCATGAGCAAAATTATTGTTTATATTTATTCGATCACGGTCGGTTTTAAGTCGATTTGGTCGAATTAAAAAAGGGTTATTATATTGATACTTTTCATATATGGCCGGTATAGCGAGGTTAATGGTCGGATTACAAATTGTCAGAATGTTTCGTGATATACCATTGAATTCCAATGTTGATTATTAGCAGAAGATAAATGATAAGCAAGTCTGTGTCCCGTTTGATAATCTACGCTTCAAAACTCCTCTCGACACTTCAGCACACCAAAAATATAATTGCTTGGGCATCCTGTGGTGAAAGGCTAGGTTACTAAGATTCCTCATATCTTTGTGTAAGATTTTTTCTTTCCAAAAAAAAAAAAAAAGGGGCGATGTGGATCATAGAAAAGATTAAATAAGTTTTATGTGCGAAACACGAATGATAAATCGGCTTAAAATAAATTTTCAGTAAATGTCCGGAGCTAAAAAACAAAAAAGACAGCTGTTACTTAAACGTCAATCATGTCTTCTAAGCCAATCACGAGGTGCATCTAAATTTTCGATGATGTCCGTCAACAAATAACAATTTTGCCAAAGAGGATGATATTTGACTTRTGATACAGTAATAACTTTGTAAATTATCTTGTACAAAACATTTCTGGGTGAGATGGCTCTGCCATGCGCACGTGCCATTTGTTTATCAACGACGACTATAAAAAGAATCTAATTTACCCAAAAAAAGAACTTCAAACTTATTCATGAAAACTGATCACCTCTARGAACAGCCGAATGAACATGTATACAAAGGTATTATGCAGCCTCGTGTGGGATCAGACACGCTGGTTAAAGGTGTGTATATGATGAATGAAAAGGTTAATAGGGTTAATTGTAGCATCTGATGCTAYGACGCAGAAGAGCACGTATCAGTAGAATATCCTGGATGGAAGTAGATTGGGGTTCATTATGATCAACAAGATATATTAAGAGCAAAAACCCATATTGTGGGCTGGGCCTAGACGTCTTGCAGCCGCTATATGCCATTTATAGCTATTTTTAAAATCTATTTTTCCATCGCCACAATGGGTTCAAATACATTCTTAGGGTGCAGCCATATGGCTCCAAATCCCTTGATATATAAAAAACAATGAAACAGGGATTTAGCGATTAGTTTTTTTGGGGGTGCATTTTACGTCATAGCCGCCATGTTGGTTGATCTAATCTAACACAAGAGAAGCACATGATGAATGCTTTGTTATCGTCAACCAGCATGACGTAAAATGCACCCTAAAACATCGAATCGCTAAATCCCTACTCGACGGTCAAAATAATAAAAAAATATTACAATCAAAAAAAGATGTCATTCCCAAGAGAAGGGAATTCTCTCGTTTTGACCCCCAGATTGAGAAAAATATCCCTACGTGCAAAACTGGAAGAAAAACACTTGTTGACAGTCACTAACATTCCTTCATGCCGTGAGTTTGTAAAGCAGAAAAAAACTGTCGTATCGCTCGTTAGAGGGCTGAATAATTGAAGGTTATCSAGATGACCACATGACCAGTTAAAGGTGGTTCGCATATGTCAAGAGCAGATAAGATCAAAATTGGGTCAATTATCGATAGACAGGGATACACTGCTTRAATCCGAACTAAAGGCTATCAAAATGACGAAAGAAACCACCCTGAAGCCATGTTAGGATTTTGTTTTTGTCACCCTTTGATGAATATTAAAATAATGTGGATTCATGGTTTCGACCTCCCTTAGTTACCGTTGCTATGTCCCACAAGCTCAACACATCAGCTAGAATATACCAGAATATAAAACTCTGATCGCGGAAAATCTATTATAAATTGTTTCAGTYGTATACTGTCCTATAAAAATATAAGAAATTGCCTCGTAAACCGTACCCTGGTCCAGCTCGCTCGCCGCTTCGCGGCTCAAACTATACGTGGCCGGGGAAAAAACGTCGGGCCTCTGGGACCAGGGTACGTAAACCGCGTAGTACCCTTTAAAACAGTTACTGAGAAATTATTAAATGCTACAACGGTGATTTGTTCGCTATTGTCAGAATCAGAACCATGAATTGAACGCACGCTGTTTGTATACCAAAAGYTATCAAATTTTTACTCACTTTTCTTCCCGCTTCGTTATTGTGTTTCATCAACAAATATTTGATGTCCTTAGTCGCTGGYTGCCAGTCCATGAACTTCCTGGAGAATTCATCACCAAAGTTAACGTTCTCACTACAGCCACCCCATTCCCAGCCAGGCTCCTTGCCCTTTCTCGGTTCTCGTCCACGAACACGCAAGTCGCAGCCACAGCTGTCCAAATTACCCGCRGCACAGCCCTTGGTTACTTGGTAGGACACCCCCGCAGATGTGATGGCATAKACGTAAGCGCTTTCACGTGACCCTGGGAAAAGATATCAAATTGTTAACGCGTTATCATCACAAACTATCATCATCATCATTACAAAATATGATTATCATTATAATCGTCATCTTTAAAACAAATAATCATCATCATCAACAATCGTCATCATCGTCTTCATTCAAACCATACAAATTTTCATCGTCATCATCACTAAAAATCGTCATTATCATCGTCATCATCATCAACAAAAATTATCTTCATCATCATCAACAATTGCCATCATCAGTATCCGAAATTATCGGCATCATCATCACCAATCACGATCATCATCACCCGATCAGTATCATACCAAATTATTATCATCTTAAATAAGATCTCAAATCTGAATCCTTGG